TTATACCAGGGATCATGGTCTAAGTCAGGGGTGTCAAACTCAATTTCATTGAGGGCTGCATCAGTATTGTGGCTGCCCTCAGGTGGGCTGGGGGTGTGTGGCCAGGTTGGGCGTGGCCAGCTTTGATGTTGCTCACATGGGGGGTTTGCCCTGCGGCAGATTGGGCAGGGCTGGGGGGGATAGAGGGGTCTCTGACAGAAGGGAAGGGGACCAGGGCAGGTGCCGGGGCCTGATCCACTGGAGGAACAAAGACAGAGGGATTGCTGTGAGGCAGCCTAGCTGGTCACCATCGCCACTGCACACTCTGCCCTGCAATCAAACCTCATTCTTCAGCAAGCCTGCTGCCCGCTGCCCCTCCCACCCACTCGTGAAGGCCCTGGCGAACGGGAAAGACGGGGAGCCTCTATCCCCAAGTGGCAGCTGTGGAGATCACAGTCTGCACAGTGCAGGTGGGTCCAAGCCCTACGACTGCCAGGCTGATGTTTGAAGCAGCAGGCTGAGGCACCTGTCATTCCCCCGTTGGAGCCTGAATCTGTGGGGGAAGACGAGCCGGAACTGGAGCCAACAGAGATCGAGGGGGCAGCTTCATTGGCTTCAGAGGAAAATGGGGAGAAGCAGGCCGAGTCAGTCCAGGGCCTTTCAGGATTGGGACGTCTTGTAGGCAGGGAGGAATGGGCAGGATGATCAAGAGAGGCTAAGCAGTGAACATGTCAGATCCCTAAAGTGATACTGCCATTCAACTGGTGGGAAGGAGGGAACTTCAAATGTAATTATTTTATACCACTGACAACTGCTATTTTATAACCTTTATCCTGGCACCTAAGCACCCTGAGATTTTCTCACCTTTGGGGGAATGTACAAGGGGGGAGGGCCATGTGGGTTGTTTCACTCCAAAAGCTGGTGGAAGATGACCCTGGGAATGCGTGCTTATCTGGTTCTCAGGATTGCTGTTATAATAACCTCCAAACCTGTGGATTGGCTAAATCCACGTTGGACTGGAGGGAGGGGTTTCTAAATGCCTTATTTCTAACTGTATTGCCTGAGGGGATTTAGAGTCTGCTTTGCCTTTGTTCTGCTATCACTTCAGCTCAATAAAAGGTTCCTTTTGAAATACTAAGTTTCAAGAGTTTTTACTTTCTTGAGTGAGAAGGAGATGCAGAACCTTACAGAACATGAGAGACAGAGCTCAGGCGATGAGCAGGGACCACCCTCTCCTGATCCTCGAGCACGGAGAATGGAGAGAAGGCAAAAATAGCACAGACGGACCCAGCTACTCAGGAGGAGAGCTCCCTTGCCCCTTTTCACAAGGCACACCTGGGGACTTAAGGAGACATTGTGGAGAGGGGCATTTGTCAGGAACAAACACTGAATTAATGGAGTGTTGAGTGCCAATGTTAGAACTTTCCTGAATTCCTTGCATTCTTTATGGATTTCTGCATACTTGCCTTGGTCCTTTGCTTCCTGGACTCAACTTGCTCTGCTGGGTATATTGCTTTGCGGTCGTCGTGCTCACAGTCTGGACTATTTGCAGCCAGAGGCTGTTTCAGGTGTGTGTGTGTGTGTGAGCACTTTGCTCTGGGACTTGCCAGAAACGTGGGAGCATTTGGGGAAATTTGGAGAAATAAACGGGCAGTTGGAATTGCCAGCTGTCTGTGTTGCCTCTGCCGTTACCCGGGTCATCACAGCAACCAGATGCTCAGATGGTCACACGGCCTGCCAGATACACAACTACCTGCTCTGTCCCAGCCGTGGCAGCTGCAGGCAAAGACAGATTGTGGGGTTGTGGTGAGGCAGCCCAGCCAGTCAACACCATGCTGCAGCCTCTGTGCGCTAGGCTCCCTCTCTCAAACCTCATCCTCCAGCAAGCTTTCTCCCCACCCTTCTCATAGTGGGGGCCAGTTGGGGTGGGGAAGGCGATGGGACTCCAGGATGTGGCAAGCACGTGAGCGCTGGTGAAAGTGAAGCGCTCAGACTGCAATCAGCCTGTGGGGCAACACAGTCCCTGGGGATGCCAGGTCCCGGGCACGCTCACCACCTGAGCACACGCCCAGGAAGCAGGGCCAGGGTGGCCCCTCATGGGCTTCAAGGAAGCACCGTGGATCTAAAGCCCTGCGTTCCAGCCCAGATGGCTGCCAGCCAGTTGTAGATTGGTACCCGGCCGGCCTGGGCTGGGTCGAGACACCGTGGGCTGGTCCTTCCCTGATTCCAGGGAAGCCCCATGGTCCAGATCTAACAAACTCGCGAGCCGAATTGGGCCTCCAGGCCTTGAATTTGACACCCCTGGTTTAAATTAGTGAAATTATTAACTGCTGGCATGCATATAAGGACTAATAAGAATATGCTTAGTCAAAACATAAATCTTGTATGGAGGAGAAATGAAGGGGCTTCATATAAAAACTACACAGAACAAAATTGGACCTCTAAAAAAAATCAGAACATTGGCAGCTAATATTCAAGACTTTGATTGTGGGGAGCAAAGCAGTCAGAATAAAGAAAGTAATTTTGTAGTATTGCAACAAAACCCCAGTGATTTTTATGCACTGAAGGCCAAATCTGGCTCTAGACTCACGCCTCATTATGTGTATTTTTCCAATGAAACAGATCAAGACAAAAAAATCATTTTATAACAATTTATTCAAAACATTCTAATTAAAAAGGATTCTTCTCATTCAAAGGGGAACCTAGATCTTCAGCTTTCATTTTCTTTTATAATTAACACTTCAAAAAAATACAAAAGAAAAGTTGATTAGACAGGACAAAAGTACCTAACTCTTTGCACTGGAAATCAGTTACATGGAGTTAAACTTGTTACATGTATGTCCATTTAAATGGCTCTCACATAAGTAGTGGTATAAGATTTAGCATGTTAATGAGAATAGTTTGTTCAGAGTTCACAAAGAGACAAACCAGACCCAAATTAACAAGTTTTCTCTGTCATTGGGAGACAAACTACAGACAAACAGTTTCTATTCTTTCTTAACCTGGACAGGAAAAACAGTTTTTAACTGGCAGTTTAGGAATGTTAAAACTTATCAATCAACCCATACCAAAATAGAATAAAGAGCTTTCTATATTCCAGTCTGCAGTGATTTGTAATGTATTAATATCATTTTAAAAAAGGAAAAATAAATCAAAATACAAAATAACTGTAAGTTGGCAAGTACAACAATACTACAAAGTCCAGGTGTATGACATTCAATACATAATGGCATTCACACACACACATATGGGCAGCACTTGAGAAATGATGAGCTTGAACAATTAATACAGAGTGGTGTTGGAAGTTAAAACCTACCCCTCTCCTAGGAGAATGAAATATTTTAGGATATACTAAAAAGTCAGACTATTTCCCCTATAAGAGAAGTAGAAACTCAAAGAGGCAGAAAGTCACCCCCAATCTATTCTACATAACAAAGATCTACCTCTTTCAGGCAGAGCCATAATAGGATTTGCCAAAAGCCCTTTCATTACATCATCACCCAGCAAGAGTCAACCAAGCCTGGGACTCAAAAGACAACCTACAATGTTACCCCTGCATGGCCCTTTGGGAGTCTGACAACCAATCAGAACACAAGCTCAAATTCAAAGCCCAACAGAGCAGGGGTCACCAACCTTGGCAACTTTAAGACTTGTGGACTTCAACTCCCAGAATTCTGGGAGTTGAAGTCCACAAGTCTTAAAGTTGCCAAGGTTGGAGACCCCTGCAACAGAGGGCATAAAACCCAGGCGCTTTCAGCATCTCTTCCCTTTTCTGCCCAGGAACCCATCCTGTTCATCAACAAACCATCTTTCCAAGAAGCTTCCATGTTTCCAGTGTGATGCCCAGAAGGATGCTTCTTCCATCAGTGGCAAACCTGATAAATCTGATAAGAGATTCCCATGACTGGAATAGAGCAAAAATACATAGCAGAAGTAATAGGAAAGGAACTGTAATAAAGATTAAGAATATACATTGCTGCTTAGAAATACACTTGGCAATCTATTAAAAATCTATTAAGGTTTTTCAAACTGCACCAATGGGATCATTGGTTCTGTGAGAGACCTTAAAAAAAAATTCACTTGGAACAGATGGGGGGGGGGAATACCACATTTATTTATTTATTTATTTATTTATTTATTTATTTATTTGATTTGTCAATTGTTTACAAGATAAGTATAAGTGTATACATAGTTGTGAATACATGAGATGGGTACATATAAGAAAAATAAAAGAATAGAGAAACAATAGGACAGGGACGGTAGGCACGTTGGTGCGCTTATGCACGCCCCCTACAGACCTCTTAGGAAAGGGGTGAGGTCAATGGTAGACAGTCTAAGGTTTTGTGGAACCAGATTTTTTTTAAAAATGTAGCAGGTCCCACAGCTTAAAATTTGAAACAAAGCATCTGGAAGGAGTACTATAAAAGCAACACTGTTGTGGTTCTATTATGACCCACCCAAACCAGGGAAGGGATAACTTTCCAAAGGTAAGTGCAAATCTTTCAAATAGGCAACAACCTACAGTAGCAGGATGCTTCTGCAAAGTGTTTCTCAATTTCGGTAACAAATGTGCAGACTCCAACTCCCAGAATTCCTCATGCAACATTTTGTCCGAGGCATTCTGGGAGTTGAAGCCCACACATATTAAATAGTTGCAGAAGTTGAGAACCACAATATATGTTTATTGAATATAAACCCCTTTCTTCGCTTCAGCTGTTATAACAATATTCGTGGATCAGCTATTCCGCCAGCCACATTGACCAAAATGGAAGTTAGAGAGTAAAAAACTTTTCTCAATAGTTTTAAATAAAACATCTTAACCGCTCTGGAAGCAAAAGCGCTAACAGGCAGAGGATCCACCCGCGCACTTTTCACAGAACGATCAAAACCGAACCATTCTCACGGAAGTCGCTCCTGATTGGGGAAAGTGCCCGTAGAAAAGCAGCAGGAAGAACCTATTAGCAGCTGCCTTTCGGGGAGGCGTTGCTCAGTCTCCGCCCGAGAGGTCGCGAGCTTCCTTTCTCCGAAAAATGGCGGCTGCGGTGGGGGTGCCAGGCGCCTCCCTGAGCGTCGTCATGCCGTCTCCACCGCCTCCGGCTCCTTCTTCCCCCAACACCTCCTCGACCACTGCTATGCCGGCCGTCCTTCCTCCTGCGGCTGTGCCGCCGCCGCCTCCTGTTCCTCCCGCGCTGGCGGCGCCTTTTCCCGGTGGTCGTGCGGTCCGGCTCCACCCGGTGGTGCTGGCCTCTATCGTGGACAGCTTTGAGAGGCGCAATGAGGGTGCGGCCCGCGTTATCGGCACGTTGCTTGGTAAGGACCGCCGCGCTCTCCGCTGAGGAGGAGGCGGCCGAACCCGAAGATCCGCTAGCTGCTCTCTTGGCACGCCAGGGTGTTTTGAGGAGGAAGCCCAGCGTATCCCGCGCCGAGGTCCTGGCACGAAGTAGAGAAAGGGCGGTGGGAAGGGTAGCCTGCGGAGGAGACCCGGTTCGGTCAACCGGGTGCCCCGCTTTGATCTTATTGCAGACATGAGACAGGGAGCGTGTCGCCTGTCCATTTCAAAGGTGCCGCATTTCAAGCGTGCCGTGGAGCACACTTTGGAAACTGAGATTCTGGACAGGGTGTATTAAATTAATAATGTGCGTAAGTTTGAGCCAGTTTGGTGTAATGGTTAAGGCACATGGAAACCGACTTCTAGTCCCGCTTTAGGCAGGGAAACTGGCTGGGTGACTTTGGGCCAGTCATTCTCTTAAAAATACCTCCACTGGAACCCTGGACTCTGAAAGACTTGAGAACCGCAGCGCAACCCACCTCACAGGGTTGATGTGGGGACATTAGGAGGAGAAAGAGTATTAGATATGCTTGCTTCGGGTACCTTCTACAACAGGGGTGTCCAACCTTGGCAACTTTAAGACTTGTGGACTTCAACTCCCAGAATTCCTCAGCCAGCTTTGCTGGCTGAGGAATTCTGGGAGTTGAAGTCCACAAGTCTTAAAGTTGCCAAGGTTGGACACCCCTGTTCTACAACATGTTGGGCAGCAGTTTTTAGAGGAGGTTTAGGGAACCACATTTCATTGCATCACTGAAAGCTGTCCATTTTAATTAGTACCAATTATTGTAAGATAAAATCCTCATGCCTCTCCTGTTTTCCCCACAAAAACCACCCCCCTGTGAGGTGGGTTGGACTGAGAATGACTGACCCAAAGTCATTCAGTTGGCTTTCATGGCTAAGGCAGGACTTGGATCTCATAGTCTCCTGTGAGACTATTTTTGTAGCATTTAATGTAGTATGTTAGAATTTTTCATGTGATTATTTGGTTAAAAGGCAACTTAGTGTTCACAGCCTCAAATTAAAAGTGGGGAGATTATATTTCTAATAAAAATATTATTTGAAGTGAATCTTTATATTTTGTAGTTTTGTTACAGCATTGGGTTATTTATCCTATGGCACATTCATATCACGTTTCAGTAAAAACAGAGATAAAAATACAAAATATGAAATATAAAAATATGGGTTAAGCATTGGGTTAAGTTGATGCCTTTTCTTTTCCTACATAAAATACTAGACATGAATTTCATTGTTCCATTCATTTTTCAGTCAAAGTAGATGGGAATTAAAGCTAGCCCTGATATGCATTTTCTAAATAGGAACAAAATGTTAGATTTGAAGAAGTAAAATGAAACCAGGATGCTTCTTTGATTTCCAGCTGTGCTCTCTTTATTTACATGCACATTTCTTAGCTACAGCATCTAAAAGTTCTTAAGTACATTCAAGAACTTAGATAGAAGCCAGTTCAGTTGCAGAATATAGTTTCTGAAATGTATTCTTTTTGTAACTTGCTGAGAGCAAACAGCCTCGTTTTCATTCTTCTCAGACTTCACCCATAGGCTTAACACATACTTATACATCAAGATTGTTGTAATATCACTATAAAATTCTCTTCTGCATATTGTAAAGAGGTTGAACTTGAAGGGGTTCAAGTTGTGCTGTATTGTACTTCTCAGCATATATAAATCTCATGTTATCTTCAGTTACAAGTTCTTCCTTGGATGTTCCTAGGCCTTTGCTTGGGAAGAATTTTTCTTAGGAAAAACTTTTCTCTCTCACTTTGTAGGCACAGTTGACAAATATTCTGTAGAGGTCACCAACTGCTTCTCAGTACCTCATAATGAATCAGAAGATGAGGTGAGTATGTGTTATTTTGATCACAATGTTAGCTTTGCCATTAGCTTAAATGCATGTAAGAAGATACTTTTAGGAAGGTACCAAAATCAGAGAATTGGTTTAAGTTTTTTGTAATTCTTTGACTTACATTTCAGAAACCTAAAATTGGGTCTTTCTCCCCTTTTGAACTGGTAAACTATCATAATAAAAAGGTTGCCCTGATAGACTCGTCCCATCAGAAAAAACACTTTATCACAATTAACAGTTTTCTTGGTATTATTGCTGAAAAGGGATATCCTAAATTGTAATGCAAATGCTTAGGTGTGACACTTTTAACAGAATATTTTTTTAATTTCAAATTCAATTTCAACTACCGAGACAATAAAAAACAAAAATTACAAACAAGACAAAAAGAAAAAAAATTGAGTGCCCAACACATGTAAAATCAACACTCAACCTACAACACTGAGTGTTGAAAAATATATCTCAAATAGTTCTAGTGTCAGGATCGGCCCTAATTAAATCACGAGCCTTCAAAAAACTTCAAAGAATTCATTAGGGGCGACATACTGGCATGACCTATTATGAGGCCGATTCTGGCATGTGTAATCACAGTCACCTGTGACCGTGTTTCCCCCTCCCCCCCTGGGTGTGCAATAAATCAGTTTCTCCAGTTAAGCACCTACACGGGCTAGTTTTTCGCAGCAAAAGCTTCAGTGCTTAGCCACAATCGTTTTTTTTAAGATAAAGTTGAAATGTGCTTCTAAGTTCATTTGCCGTGCTTCTTCAGTCTCCCCCCCCCCCTGAATATTTGAGATATTTTCTTAAAAATATCTCAAATATAGAAATATAATATATTAATCAAGTCAACCATTAACTGTTAATTATTTAAAAAATAATGTCGGGTGTCAAACTTGATTTCATTGAGAGCCACATCAGGATTGTGTTTGACCTTGGTGGTGGTGGGTGTGTGACCGGGAGTGGGCGTGGTAAATGGTGGGGGTGTCCGGTGTGGTCGTGGCCATGTTCGGTATTTGACACAGGCTCGAGATGCATTTTTTTCTCTTTCCACAGTTCTTTACTATAACCATTTTCCTATCTCTTCTACAAGATGTTACTGGCAAACATTTATTACTTATTCTTCATTCTCCACTTAACTTTTTATTTCTAAATTTATATCCCATTGTTTAATAGTAAATTTCTTTTCTAGGAAGAAAAGCTATTTATACTATTGTATTTTTATTATTCAACTAATAATAAAAATACAATAGTATAAATAACATGATAATACGAGATCTAACAGCAGAGGTAAATTTCCAGGATAGTAAATAGAAATGGCTTGTCAATTATAGATTGTTGATTATAGATCAGGAGTGTCAAACTCAAGGCCTGTGGGCAGTGCTTAAATCTGGCCTGCAGGGTCTGCCTGGAAGTATCAAAGGACCAGCCTGCAGTGCTTCTGCTGGCCAAAACGTTTTCGGCCTCCAGCAGCACCAAAAACAGGCTGGTGCTTAAATCTGGCCCATGGGGCCAGCCTGGAAAAGTGCTGCAGTAGGCTGTCCAGGTTGAAAACGGGGTACCGGGGTGTGTGTGGCCACCCCATGCCCCATTTTGACTAGCAGGGTGCTGCAAGAGGTATCTGTCCTGTCTCTCCCCCCCCCCCCCCCCCCGCTCCTAGCCTCCCTGGCCCGCGGAGAACTACAATGCTGATCCGGCCCGCAAAGAAATCCAGTTTGACACCCCTGTTGTAGATTAAATGGACCTACAGTGGGTAAAATCTGACATTAAATTGTAGTATTAACATAGGATGTTGCTTGCTTTCTATCCAAATCAGGCACTTACTTGAGGCCACATAGTTGTTGTTAAGCGTGGATTCCCCAACGGGTGCTAAGGAAAACAAACTAAACAGAATGTACAGCGAAGTCAGATAGGAAGACAGGTAAATGTGTGAGATAAGTTTTCTAGTTACCATGCAGTAAAAATACAGATACGCTTGTGCTATCAAAAATTATAATTTATTCCATTTAAGAATTATAGCATAGTCATTATAAACAGTCCATTAGTCAAATACCAAATTCAGTCAAGTCTTGTCGAGGATACTCTAATTGCAAAGTCTGTGTCGAATAGCCAGTGTCAGTACACATATAATAAATCTGTCCAAAACTTATCTTCTCTCCGTTGAGAAATATCTTCAAAGTAATCCAACACTTCTTCTCCTCCCCGATCCAGCAAGAATGCAGTCTTCAATAAGCCAGCCAGTAAGAGCCAGAGAGTGGCTGCACCCTTAATTACATTCCTTTAGCTTAAAGTCACATACACTTTATCTGACAAACCATGATTCATCATTTTATTATCTTTACTCAAAACAGTTAGGGTAAAACAATGTTATCCCTAACAGTTGTAATCCAGACCTGCAGCACTGCCGGCAGAAAACATTTTTGGCTGGCAGAGTGCTGCTGGAGGCTGAGGAGGCCAAAAAACAGGCCACTTGGGGGCTTCGCGGGGCCTCCATGTGTCCCATGTTCGGCCAGCAGAGTGGTGCAGCAGCTTTGATATTTCCAGGCTAGATTTAAGCACCCAAGGCCTCCCCTTTCTTTGCATCTTATAAAGGCTTGCATTTAATTCTTGGTTTTTTACTTTGCCAAATTAATTTAAAAATATCCTTCTGCCATTGTTTAAATATCCTTCTGCCATTGTCTTTCATCAAAATTGGTATAGTCTGAAACTCCCAAAGGTGCTTTTTCAAGAGGCAAATGGACTTTCTGTTTTTTTCTTTGAAAACATTTTGCTTCTCATTCAAGAAGCTTCTTCAGCTCTGACTGGATGGTGGGGAATGGGAGGATTTATACTCCTTGCAGACAGCTGGTCATATGCATTCTTTTAGCAGGTCATTAAGGTCACCTGGAGGTTTATTTGTCATCAGGGTCACCTGAGAAATGCAAATGGGTGTGGAGCCTTCTTGGAACTATTGAAATGACTGTTGTAGATTGGACAATGTCATATCCCTCTCCCTCTGTTGAGAGAGGGCTGTTCAGTTTTGACATAGATGGCCTCTTTAACACTCTTTCAAAACAGTGGTCCTCTCTGTCCAAAATATGCTTTTGTTGTCTTCAAAAGAGAGGCCTGTGTCTTTTAAATGAAGGTGGACTACAGAATCTAATCCTGATGTGTTTGTTCTCCTATGTTGTACCATGCATTTATGAAGTGGTTATTTTGTTTCCCCAATATACAGATCTGCACATGGCTCACTGCATTATACTGCATATATACCACGTTGTTCAGTTTCTGCCTGGGTGTTTTATCCTTGGAGTGGACAAGCTTATGTCCTAATGTATTCTTGGGTTTGAAGTGTGTACGTATGTTATGTTGGCTGAAGATCCTCCTGAGCTTTTCCAATATGCTTGCAATGTATTGAATGACAATGTTGCTTTGTTTATTGTTCTTATCATTGTGTGAAGTAGTAGATTTATGAAATGCCTTACTGAAGTCCAAGTAAATTATATCCACAGGATTCCTCTGGTCCGCTAATATTGCCAGTTTGTTAAAGAATGCAATAAGATTTGTTTATCATGTTTTTGACAAACCCATGTTGGCTTTTGGTTATTACTTTGTTTCCCTCTAGGTGTTTGCTGATTTGTTGCTTGATTATCTTTTCCTGAATCTTCCCAGGGAGTGAGGTCAGGCTGATAGGCCTGCATTTTCCTAGATCCATTTTTTTCCTTTTTTGAAGTTGGGAACTAATCTGCTCTTTTCCAATCCTCTGATACTTCCCTAATGCTCCAGGATCTTTGACAGATATAGTTCAGTGATTCTGAGATCCCGTCTGCCAGTTCCTTCAGAACCTTGGGGTGTATTCAGATTAACAGATTAACAGAGTTGGAAGGGACCTGGTAGAGTCCAACCCCCCTGCCCATGCAGGAGACCCTACACCGTTTCTGACAAATGGCAGTCCAGTCTCTTCTTGAAAGCTTCCAGTGATGAAGCTTGTTGAGGTATTCCCCATTAGGAGAATGAGTGCACTCAGGAAAACGTACTGAGAGTGATGTTGAATAACATACAACCAGCACACAGATATGCTGAATAGTAAAATGTAGGTTTTATTTCCAGTAAACGGGTAAACAAAGTCCAACAAACAGTCCAAATCATACACGGTTAAAGCAGTTAGTATCAGTCCAGGGATAATCCAAAAACAAAGTCCAGTATCATAAACAGTTTGCTAACAGTTTGCAAGACTCACAGCAATCCAAGCAGAATGACAATCAGGCAAAAGGCTAAAGGGAAATGCAAGAAGAGAACAAACCACGTTTCTGGCTCCATCTTATGGCCATTGGAGGAACCTCAGCCAATCACAATTACAGCATTCTCTTAAAGATACAACAGTATTAAATGACTATCCTGGTTTATATTTTGCCAACCCAACTGTTAGGTAACTATCATTCCTAACGAAGCTCCCACAACTTCTGAATGCAAGCTGTCCCATTGGTTGATTGCTTTCACTATCAGAACTTTTCTCCTTATTTCTAGGCTGAATCTCTCCTTGCTCAGTTTCCATCCATTATTGGTCTTCAGGTACTTTGGAAAATAGCTAGACCCCTTCCTCTCTGTGGAAACCCCTCAAATATTGGAATACTGCTATCATGTTCCACTCAGTCACCCACTGCTATCATAACTCTATTCCTACAAATTCATTCCATTAAACATGCGAATTTGTCACATGAACTCGAGATCTTGTGTTATCATTGTACTTTCATCACTTAATTTATCAGCTTGTTTGATATTGCAGATTATTAAAGTATTTTGTCAGCATTCCAACTAAACTCTCCATCCCGAATTCAGCACTCAGAGACAAAGTCCATCCAAGTAAGAATTTATTAGAGAAGTCATGTTGGCACATCCGGGGAAAACCCGAATTCTCGCATTTCCCCCCCTATACTAAAACTCACACCCTGCGCCTATTGATGACCCTCAAGTCACTCTCCAATCCACCTCGATTTCTGAACTCCCGTGAAGTCCAGCTACTTCCCTCTAAGTTCCAGTCACTTGTCTTTGAGCTCTAGCGAAAGAATGTTGCTGTGGCTATCCTCCTTCACTACTCTCCCGTTCCCACAGCGTGCCCATCCCCCGCTGTGGCAGCGCTAAATCTGAATCAAGATGGATCCAGGGCCGACATATTTATCAAATAGAAATGCACTGTTGTTTCCCTGAAAATAAGACCGGTTCTTACAATTTTTGGACCACAAAAAAAGGCACCAGGTCTTATTTTTCCCAATTTTTTCCTGTACCGGGGAAGGGTGAGAATGGCAAGCTGCCCCTCCTGCTTAGCGCCTCCATGGCCTCACTAAAAAGCTGATCTGTGCCACTTTCAGAGCCTGAACATCCTCTGCAAAACAGCCTGCATGTCTTAGGTAAACAGCTCCGCAAAACAAAATAAGCTGTTTAGCAAAGACATGCAGGCTCAGCTCAGCTGTTTTGAGGAGGATGTTCAGGTTCTGAAAAAGGCAGTAGCTCTGCTGGTCTGAGCCTGCATGTCTTCTCTGAACAGCATTTTCCTGCCGAGCCTTCAGTGTTGCAATCCTGGGATACGCTGAAGGCTTGAGGGGGAGCCTTACAGTAGAAGCAAAGAGCAGCCTGTCCCCTTTCTCTGTGTGAGAGAGACAGAGAGAAAGAGAAATGACGGAGGGGAGTAACAAGAATTGCAGGCAATGTCTCGAGCGTTGTCCCGAAGCCTCCCCGCTGCTTGGTTTGGGGTGGATGGCTGCGGTGGGGAGGCTTCGGGACGATGCTCAGGACTGCCCAGCCAAGGACAGCACCCTTCTAGCGCCTACCGCCCTGACAAAGGCAAAGCAGAAGCAGGTGGGGGCCGCGTGGGGCTCCTCTAATGGCCTCCCCACTCCCGGCGCTGTGCAAGCCCCGGAGCAGCGCCACAAAGCTGGGGGTATACCAGGATTGCAATGCTGAAGGCTCAGGATGGAGCCTTTTTGGCAATTGGCAGGAAAATGGGGAGGGTTTTTTTCCTGCCTGTACTCCTGAAGCCTCCCCGCTGTTTAGTTTGGGACAGACTGCTGCGTGGCTCACTCAAGTTGCAGACAGCCCAGGGATTTGGGTGGCCTTTACGTGGCTAGTATGCCTGCAAGATCTCTGGTTTCCGAGGTTGGTGATGCTCAGTGTTTGGGCTCCGGCACACTCTTCTCTTCCTGGGTGGCGCCCGCGCGTGTGTAGTGCCTTCAGCTCACCATGTCTGGCCTGCTGATCCTGGCTGCGGTTCTTAACGCTGCGGGTAAGAACTGGCCATGCCGATCCCACTTCATAACCAGCAGATGGAGCCCACATCGGCCGCTGCTTCATGTGGACCAGATGGGGGTTGCCCATGAAGGTGCCAGGCCTTGGTGCAAGCTAGAGGTGGGGGAGGGTCAGTGCCCTTACCTGGTTGCCTGTCCTCCGCCGTTTCTCAACAAATGGCTGTGTGTATATATGTGTGTGTGTGTGTGTGAGAGAGAGAGAGGGAGACAGAGAGAAAGAGAAACGGCAGAGAGGAAACCTTTTCAAACAGTATTGCCTGCAATTCTTGTTACTCCCCTCCGTCATTTCTCTCTCTCTCTCTCTCTCTCTCTCACACACACACACACACAGACATTTAATTGCTTGAAAGGGACAGGCTGTGCTTTGCTTCTACCATAAGCACACACATTTCACGATCTTTCAGGATTGCCTGCCTTTTCATTCTTTTCTGAAGCAGCAGCAGCAGCAGCTCGGTAGAAGCGGGGAGGGGGAGCCGATTCCAACGGGCCGCATGTCCTTTCTGCCTCATTGCAGGAAACATCTCCAGGCACCCGGAGAGACAGAACTCCCGGCCCTCACTGGATCAACTGATCTGCGGGCTGCAGTTAAGGGGTCAAGGTGACCGGGGAAGGGAAGGACTGCCTCCTGGGCGTGCGATGCCCAGCCCTTCACTAGGGCTTATTTCGGGGGTAGGTTTTATATTAGCCCCCCCCCCCCAAAAAAAATCGGAGGGCTCGCTTTTGGGTTAGGTCATATTTTTGGGTAAACAAAGTCTATGTCAAGTTTTGCATCTATGTGTCAGATCTGTCACCAAACCACTTCAGCCTTGTTTTGCTTTGCTTTGCTTTGCTGATAGTCTGCAGTAAAATGTGGGGAGGGGATGGGGAGGTAGGGAGGGGGGAGGACAAAAAAAGGGAGGACAGAGGGCCATCCAGAGACAACATAATCCAATGACACAATCCTGGGAATGGAATGTGAAATGCCCATTCAGAGAGGTGCCAAAATGTGGAACTGCTACTAAAACACCTAACTGGAACCTCATTAGACCTCACCAAGAGGAAAAGCTCTGGGAGAAGGCAAAATTACTGGGGTTATGCGGGAAATTCTCAGATTTGGTTTTGCTATGTTGTATCCACTTGGCTTCAGTAAAGAATACTTTTCACTACAAATGAAGTTGAGGGTCTTTCTTTACTGATGATCCAAACTGGGAAAGGCCTGACTCTAAGTGTTGTCAGGAAGTCTCAACTTAGAACCGTTTGAAGTTAGGATGGTGCAGAAAAATATCTAGTCCTCTCACTTATGACCACCCCTCACACCTATAACTATTGCACCACACCCATATTCAAGTGCTTGGAATTTGGCTGTTTAGCAACTGCTCGCATTTGTGACCAATTACAGTGCCCTGCGGTCATGTGATCATAATTTGTGACTGATTTTTCCAGTTTCGGCAAAAATCTCAGAAGAATGGAAGAACTTAATAACTGTGGATTTGCTTAATGACCATGTAAATGGTCGTAATATTGGTCTGATTTGACTGAATGACTACAATGACTTATGAGGGAAATTCTGGTCCCAATTGTGGTTATACTGTAAGCCAAGGACTACCTGTACATATCATGATTTCCATATATGCTAAAGTATATCTTATGTATTCATTTTGTGAGTTTGCTTCTTCTACTGAACATGGAGCTACAGAGAAGTAGTTACTGTACTTATGTTAAAAAAATAATACACGGAGTGAATGGCAGGCATTAGGTTTACTCTTAATCAATTTTCCCCATTTAATCAATTGGAATGAATAGCAGTTACTTGTTTATTGACATAATGGGCCTTGGAGGGTACTCTTTTATTTTCTTTACAATCAAACTTTGTTAAAGATGAAAAAAATGAATGTTTTTTATCCTAAATTCATGAAGCCATATAAGTATCTTTATAAAGGAATTCAGGAAGACAAACACTGTGAATTTTATTTTTTTTTGCATCAGAGATAAGTTATCAATCAAAGACAAGTACTTTCCAAACTCAGAGTGGTGAGTTTATTCTCAGGTTAACAGGTTTAAAGTAGATAAGAGGTTTGGAAAGGTCCTCTGGCTATCAGTGAATTAATGTGAATATTGCAGAATATTGAACTTTGTTCACTTTCAGGTTGCAGTGGACATGGAATTTGCCAAGAATATGTATGAATTGCACAAGAAAGTGTCTCCTAGTGAAATTATTCTGGGATGGTAAGTCTTCATTCTACCAAAATTTGTCTATCCAGCTTTTCGAAAAAGAGGATTATCTTTACTTAATAGAGTGCCATAAAATAACAATTCTTTAAACAATTACCGTATTTTTCAGACTATAAGACGCACCAGACCATAAGACACACCTAGGTTTAGAGGAGGAAAAAAAAATTTTTTTTGCCTCCGCGCGTCTCATTTTTGCCCTCCGGAGGCCTTCGCAGGTCCTGTTTTTGCCCTCCCCGGCATCGAGGAGGCCAAAAACAGGATGTGTGGAGGGTTTGGGAGGCCAAAAACAGAACATTCGCTCTATAAGCTTCACGCACAGACATTTCCTCCCACTTAAATTTGGGGGGGGGGAGTACATATTATAGTCCGAAAAATACGGTACATCAACTTTGTCTTGATACCAACAACCAACAGTGTTGGTCTTGATAACAATACACCTCCATTTTTATAGAATTTTGGAAAATAGTTTGGCTCTCTTTAATAGGATAAACTTTGACTGTATTCTCCCCCCCCCCCCCCCCCCCAAATTTAGGGATGATTGCTTGCTTGCTCCTTAAAGTTGATAATTTTTCCATATTCACTGAACGTTTGTGGCACATTGCTTTGATCATGCTATCTGTTGTTAATAGATCCAATTTAATCCAGGGATAAAACTGTATAATCACACAAGTTTCTAATTGATTTAAAATAGTGTCACAAAACTTTTTGAGATGATAGATTCTCAAAATCTGTAAAAAAAAGTCTCCAGCAGATAGCATGAACTTGTGCATTTTCTTTTATATTTGTAACATTGCAAATTTGAAAGTATTGTTTTAAATATCATTTTAGCCACCGTCCACTTTCATTTTTTTCTGCTTCAGATTCTGATGTGCAGTATATCCTTTATTTAATATATTTATATGGCAGCCCAACTCACCCATAGTAGCTTATCATATTAAAATCCCACAAGGTAAAAATCCCTTAACATCCTCTCTTATCTTCATGGGAGTATGGCAACAACAGGCAGAACCAACACCAACCACTTGATCAGTTCCATGTTGCCTTGGGGTCCCAGGCCACTGACCATGTCTCAAGGGCCTTCCAGAAGAGTATCAAAGTGGGGGCCAATCTTATCTTTAGGGGAATGATATTCCAAAGGGAGGGAGCCACTAGAGAATGCCTCTTTTCCTGGGTGTCACTAGATGTGATTCCCTAATAGATGAGAGTAAGAAATGGTTGTTCAGATAATCTGGCCCCAAGCCATATAAGGTGATAATCAGAATCTTGATTTGTACTCAGAAGCAAATTGGTAACCAATATGGTTTCCACAAAAGAGGTAACATAAACTGCTGCATTTTGAGCCATCTGAAGGTTCCAAATACTATTTGGCACAACCCCATATAGAGTACATTACAGTAGTCCCTACAAGAGGTGAATAGGGCATGGGTGACTGTGAGAAGGACATGAAAGGGGGTAAATAGTACACAACTTGCCATTGTGCAGGACTACTATGTACTCTTTGAGTTAGAGCTGCCAGTCCAGGAGAACCTCCATATTATGTACTGGGTCTGCCTGGGGCAGTGCAATCCTATCCACAACCAAAAACAGTAATTAAAAATTCCTTTGTTAATTTGCAAAAGATTACTGAAATCTCAGGTAACTTTGTATCAGATTTATATTTCATTAGTTTTGTCCATTCTGAGAAGAGGTATTGGTAATATTTACCTTTCTGATAGTATTGGATAAAACTAATATATATATTGTAGTATATAAAATAACTTCAAATAAAAAGGCAAGATAATAACATATACTTTATGGATACATCAGTAGCAATATATTAGTCTATATTCTCAGCATAGCAACTTTTAAATGTTCTGTGTTGAATTAATGTATTCACTATGTGCAAATATTGTCTTAAGCCGATTTTATTTTTGCAGGTATGCAACTGGACATGATATCACAGAACACTCTGTTTTAATCCATGAATATTACAGTCGGGAAGCCCACAATCCAATTCACTTAACTGTGGACACCAGTTTACAAAATGGACGTATGAGCATTAAGGCATATGTCAGGTACTTGCAAAAACAATTTATCTGCATTTTGCTCGAAAGAAACAAAAGTTAAAAAAAAATAAAGTTTTATAGTCTATAAAAGGAAAGTGTGAACTTTATCCCATCCTACTTTTTAACATTACAGTAGAACACTAGATGGATATCAGATAGCAAAAATAACATTAAAAGAATAAATTGAGATTCCAATGTTTTGAGAAGCTCCTGCTGTTTTTCTCTTATGACATTCTGGCAGTTATGTACATGTAGGGCATATATATGGTCACTTATGTATTTTTCAGAACCAGTATTTTAATAAGAGTTGAAAGCAACTCTTATGTATCAAGGCTTATTTGGAATATACATGCTAAGAAAAATTGTCTCTCTTTTAGTACTACAATGGGAGTTCCTGGTAAGACTATGGGGGTAATGTTTACTCCTCTCACTGTGAAGTATGCCTATTATGATACAGAGCGGATAGGAGGTAAGCATTATATTATTGATGGATTTAGTGCTGCTGCTTTTGTCCTGATGATTAGCATAACCAAGAAATGAAACCTAGTGAGTGGCTAGATCTTTTGACACTCAGAGTGTCAAAAATTCAGAAAATGCCTTGATTCTGCTGGGGTGTCATATAACCCTACCCACAGACAAAAAAGGCCTTTTGTGGACCGCTTTTCTGGACTTTTCTCTTGGCTTCACTCTCTGGACCCTCTGGAAGTTGCGTAAGAGGGCCTGCTCTTTTGGGTTTTTGGGAACATCAAAAAAATTGCATGAGAATGCATGATTTTCAGATACACCCACTCCCTGCACACACACACACACACACCCCCATGGACTGTATGAGAGCAAGGTCTCTTTGTACAACTTCCAGGGGCTTGGCATGTCACCAAAAATGGCATAGTGTGTTATAGTGTGACATAGTGATTAGACTCTGTTTTCTGTGATTGGTTATACATTCTGTGCAATAAAGTTAAATGTCAGTGCTTTGAAATAAAGCTTAGAGGGGCTAAAGCTGCATCTTCATCGCAGAGGAGAAGAAATAAATACTGTTCCTGACAGAAATATCATGTATTTAGTCCTTTTTATTAAATTTATTAAATATCGACTTATTCTACTAAAATGTATATTCAGTTATTTCCAATTGGAAATTGTTGGGCTTAGCAATTACCTGAGTGCAAACCACGACCAAGATAAGGATCAAATCTATTTTAAGCCAGTATGGCCTTATCTGGCTGGAGAACACAATGAACGACTCTGTTTCTTCTTCTGGAAAATCTACAAGCTGATTTTACTTACAGCACTCTACTATATAGCATTTTGAAGAGGAAAACAACAGAAAAGTTTCCAAATGATTGAATTTTGCATATTCCTATAATAAACTACCATAGAGCATCCACTGTATTATTATATTGTTTTAGTTTATTACAGACATAGATCAAAATGTATACCATCCAGTATAACAATTCTGTTTGCGGTAGAAATAGAGCATACAAACTACTATATAACAAACTTATTTCTATAGCACTGAATTTGGCCATTTTTCAGATGACAGGCCTGGTCATTTAATAGGATGTACATAATTGCCCATTGAGACCAGCCTGAATAATTTAAGATTAGAAGAGTGATTAGCTCTGCCCTCTGAGAATGATTAATAGGGCATTTAAGAAGTACATGTAAACTGTCTCAATTTGCATAAGCATTTGCATAAGCAGTCGTGGTTGGAGATATTGTTAAAGATTCCTATCATTATCATAGAGGGCAAAGTGTCTAAGCATGCCATTGTCAGTACCTTTCTAGTGAGGGCACACTGTCTATGATAAAAAATATTTGGCAGTGATAGGACAAGTAACAAGGCTCCCCTCAGTTTTCTTCCTTCCAGATTAAGCATATCCAGTTCTTTTATAGACTCCATCCCCAATCCTTTAAAAAATCTTTGTTTATCAATGTTCTTTTTAGACTGAAGCACCTAGTATTAAAGATTAGTTGAGTTCCCATTGAAGGGTGGATTATTTTACAGTAATTATAGAAAGTTAATGGTTTACTTAAATTATTACTGTAGTATTTGTGACCATAACTGTGTTTAACAGACTCATGCCTACTCTCTGTTCTCAGTTGATCTCGTCATGAAGACTTGCTTTAGCCCAAATCGAGTGATTAATTTGTCAAGTGATCTTCAGCAAGTGGGGACAGCTTCTGCTCAGATTCAGGATACCCTGAGCACAGTACTACAGTATGCAGAAGATGTGCTGGTAAATGTGCTGTGGCTAAAATATGCACTAATAGGAAATGTGTGAAACTGTATATTCATTTTTTCTGTTGATGATATATCAAAATGTTTAAAAAAATAGTATCTCTGCTTTCTGTCTAGTCTGGAAAAGTGGCTGCTGACAACACTGTTGGTCGCTTCCTGATGGATCTTGTTAATCAAGTTCCAAAAATTTCGCCAGAGGACTTTGAGACTATGTTGAATAGCAATATCAATGTAAGTCCTTAGAGTAAACTTGTAAGTAGTACTAAGTTTATGGATGGGTGAGCTTGTAAATTGTTGTTCAAATTAGTGGTAAGTGTTAATATGCAAGCCTGCGTTACATCTCCGGTGGAATAATCTTTAATTATTACCATAAACATTTGTCTGATTTCTTAAATTATACAATTTAGAAGTTGCTTTGGATTGATATCAATCTTTCTGATATCTTCTCTGGAGACCATTTACATTTCCTGCCTTCCAAGGAAACAGATAACAATTATGTTGGTCAATTTTTACAAGTTCCCCTTCAGTTCTCTCATCTAGATCATTAATACCCATCTAGAGTGCTTTTAAACTAGATTATTTATGCCAGTCTAGAATTGGAAGCTTTAAAAATAAGTTTGTTTACTGGTATGAATGAGTGGACAAAGTTACAGATTTGTTTCTAATTACCACTTCCACTGAACAATATTGTATAATGGAAAGATTCTTAAGTATATTCTTTTTTTTCCTCCTTAGGATCTGCTGATGGTAACCTATTTGGCAAATCTCACCCAATCACAGATTGCACTCAATGAAAAAATCTTAAACCTGTAATGAAACCTTAACCATCACAAGACATCCTGAAGAAACAGTGCAATTTCTTTGCACAACCCAGACTCCGTAATTGGATTTTATCTTCTGAACTGACTGCTGAATTAATCTTTCTCATCACTTTTTTCCCTCTTCTAAGTATGGTCAGAAAGGTGATCATCATTAAAAATGATCAAGAAATTCCTAAGCTCCTCTTTTCTTGCTTGTGTATTATTAACCTAGTTCTATAAATTTGTAGGGATCCTTGCTTTTTACTAGGGAAATATATTTGAATTTGTTTTTGAAAATATTTAGCAGCTTCGAGTGTGAAAGAAAGAATAATTTAATTAAAAATAATAAGATTTTCAAAATGTTATTCCAAACTTCTACCAAAGTATGTTTATGATTTAGTTGAATATAGGGATAGTCATTGTAAAAAAAAGTTAATCTCTGTTGCATTGCTGTCTTATAAATTACTTTCTTTCAGGATAGAGACCTATTGGACTGAAGCTTACTGATAAAAAATAATAATATGGCATAAACAAGATGTTGTTGAAGGGCAAGGCAGAAGAAGAATACTTCTCAAATAACCAATGTTTCAACTGTGCTATGAATGCAGAAAGTTAACAGAGCTGTGAAAGAAATGCATTCTTGTATCACAATGCCACAACTTGCCAGCAGAAATTGTAGATATGTGCTTAGATGAAAATAACAACCTTGGTCTCAGGAAATTCCTTTAGGTAGTTGACCTGGAGAAAATGAAAGCAATGACTGTTCTGTTATAGAATTATGGTTTCAAGGAAGGAGCTCATGAAAGGGAGTTTAATCCCTTTTCTTGAGCAAGAACAGATATTCTTAAAATCAAGAATTTTCCTTTCAGTAGAAGAAGTTTGAGAACTTGGCTATCTAGTGAGAAAGTGGGAGATGGTCTAGTGATTAATGCATGATGAAATCAGGTGATCATGATTATATATATATATATATATATATATACACACACACACATACACACACACACACACACACACACACACACATGAATGGCAGTTCTATTATGGATTGATGCTCCATAGATGTGCTTGGGAATTTGAGTTATAAACCAAACATTATTTCTCTCCATGGCTCCTGATGTGGGTGATATAAGATACTGCAGTAATGCTGCCAGAATAAATAGGGGAATAGAATTGGCATCTTGCTTGTAAAGATCTGATCTTGTTCAAGATTTTTCTCTTCAGTGAGTAATATAAATGGGAGGTGCTATTTGCTGGCCCTTTCCAAAGATACTGATTGACTGTTATGGGAACAGAATCCTAAACCAGACAGTGTTTAATTTGATATGGCCTGCTTCTTTGCCTAAGCCAGGGGTGTCAAACTTCAAGGCCCGCGGACCAGATCCGGCCTGCAATGTTAGATCTGGCCCGCGGGGCTGCCCTTGAAACAGCGAAGGACCAGCTTGCAGCACCTCAGCCCGGCCCAAGCCGACTGGGCACTGATCTACAACCTGGTGGCTATCAGAGCTGGAAGGTGGTCCGCCTTAGATCCCTACGCGCGTTGATCCCTAGGAGATGGTGAGTGTGTGCAGGGCCTGGCCTCCCTGGGGACTGTCTTGCTCCTCAGGCTGACTGCGTTATGAGCACTTCCCTTTCATCTTTCATGTTCTATGTTATTTTCTCAATGTTGTTTGTTGCTGAAGCTGGCTAATGATCAAGTAATAATTACATTAACACAACTAAGAGCATCTTGAGTTGTCACTAGTCCTGAGCTACTTTTTGTCACTGTTGTAAAAATCACATCTTTGTTAATACTCAGTTTCTATTCAGGTTATGTGTAGAAAGGAGGAGGATATCAAGGAGTATTTTATAATATACCCAAGGAAGCACTAGAGAAAATCAGAACTATGGTTATTGATGTCTACTAAAAAAACTATTGACTTGATTGATTGATTGCATCTTAGCAATAACATTAAAGCAGAAGCCTGTAGTGCTTTTTTAGCCACTGCAGGCTTCTACTTGAATAGCATTGTATCGCCTTTGGGATGCCTGAATTTTAACTTTTAAACAGCATGGAGGAGATGATGCATACTCAATCATTTAAATACGCGTGTTCTTGTGAAGTGGCATTGCCTTTTCACCTGAATCATGGTCCCCATATGATTCAATTGTACAAGAAGTTTCAATCTGATTAATCATGACAGAGAAAAGACGATTTTTTTTTTTACCATCTTCAAGTCTGAAGGAAGAAATGACAAATAGAAAAACAAGTTCAGCTTAATTATTTCAAATTTGGTAATGTCCCTAGATTGTACACATGTATGCATATCAAAAAGTAAAGCAGAGATTGTCAGTTAGCTACCACAAAGGTCCAGAATAATAACCAGAATTGAGTTTGTTTTTTAGAAAAATATGGCTATTTAGTTTTCTGTCACCACAAATCTTTAATAAATCTTTTTATTATACAGGTGAAACTCAAAAAATTAGAATATGTGCAAAAGTTAATTTATTTGAGTAATGCAACTTAAAAGGTGAAAGTTAAACTATCTTGCTTTGCATGTAATGAGTCTATCTCATATATTAGTTTCACCTTTTAAGTTGCATTACTGAAATAAATGAACTTTTGCACAATAATCTAATTTTTCGAGTTTCACCTGTAGTTCTCTCAACATATTTTGCCAAATTGTACCTGCTTTGATACAATCCCTATGGACTTGAGCTATTTACTTGCATCTGTTCTCATTCTATTTTTTTCCAAGTATGCTTTTTAAAATTCTACAGATACCTGTCTCAGGGTTTGGGAGGCAAAGATTATCAAATCTGAATTTTACAGATGAAACTCGAAAAATTAGAATATCGTGCAAAAGTTCATTTATTTCAGTAGTGCAACTTAAAAGGTGAACCTAATATATGAGATAGACTCATTACATGCAGAGCAAGATAGTTCAAGCGTGATTTGTCATAGTGATGATGATGGCTTACAGCTCATGAAAAGCCCAAATCCACAATCTCAGAAAATTAGAATATTACACGCAATCAATAAAACAAGGATTGTACATAGAACAATATCGGACCTCTGAAAAGTATAAGCATGCATATGTATTCAGTACTTGGTTTGGGCCCCTTTTGCAGCAATGACTGCCTCAGTGCGGCGTGGCATGGAAGCTATCAGCCTGTGGCACTGCTGAGGTGTTACGGAAGACCAGGATGCTTCAATAGCGGCCTTCAGCTCTTCTGCATTGTTTGGTCTCATGTCTCTCATCTTTCTCTTGGCAATGCCCCATAGATTCTCTATGGGGTTCAGGTCAGGCGAGTTTGCTGGCCAGTCAAGCACAGTAATCCCACGGTCATTGAACCAGGTTTTGGTGCTTTTGACAGTGTGGGCAGGTGCCAAGTCCTGCTGGAAAATGAAGTCAGCATCCCCATAAAGCTCGTCTGCGGAAGGAAGCATGAAGTGCTTCAAAATCTCCTGGTAGATGGCTGCGTTGACCCTGGACTTAATGAAGCACAGTGGACCAACACCAGCAGATGAAATGGCTCCCCAAATCAACACAGACTGTGGAAACTTCACACTGGACTTCAAGCATCTTGCAGTGTGTGCCTCTCCATTCTTCCTCCAGACTCTGGGTCTTTGGTTTCCAAATGAGATGCAAAAGTTGCTCTCATCAGAAAAGAAGACTTTGGACCACTGAGCAACAGACCAGGTCTGTTTTTCTTTAGCCCAGGTAAGACGCTTCTGATGTTTTGTTGCTCAGGAACGGCTTGACAAGAGGAATGCGACATTTGAAGCCCATGTCCAGGATCCGTCTGTGTGTGGTGGCTCTTGATGCACTGACTCCAGCCGCAGTCCACTCCTTGTGAAAGTCTCCAACACTTTTGAATGGCCTTTTCCTGACCATCCTCTCCAGGCTGCGGTCATCCCTGCTGCTTGTGCACCTTTTTATTCCACACTTTTCCCTTCCACGTAACTTTCTATTAATGTGCTGTGATACAGCACTTTGGGAACATCCAACTTCTTTTGCAATTACCTTTTGAGGCTTTCCCTCCTTATGGAGGGTGTCAATGATGGTTTTCTGCACAACTGTCAGGTCAGCAGTCTTTCCCATGATTGTGATTCCTACTGAACCAGACTGAGGGACCATTTAAAGGCTCAGGAACCCTTTGCAGGTGTTATGGCTTAATTAGCTGATTAGAGTGGGACACTTTGAGCCTAGAATATTGAACTTTTTCACAATAATTTTCTGACATTGTGGATTTGGGCTTTTCATGATCTGTAAGCCGTACTCATCTCAATTATGACAAATCACAGCTTGAACTATCTTGCTTTGCATGTAATGAGTCTATCTCATATATTAGGTTCACCTTTTAAGTTGCATTACTGAAATAAATGAACTTTTGCACATATTCTAATTTTTTGAGTTTCACCTGTATATACAGAAATGAGATTAGAAACACGACAAGTTTCATCAAGATCCCATGCAGATATTTGTGTAGCTCAATACAGATAGTCCTCAACGTACAACAATATTTAGTGACAGGTTACATCATCACTGAAAACAGTTACTTACGACTTTTTCATTACAGCACATCCATGGGCATGTGATCAAAATTCAGATGTTTGCAACTGACTTATGAAGGTTGCAGTGTCCTGCGGTCATGTGGTCTTGACAAGCAAAGTTATTTGGGGAAGCCAGAGTCATTTAATAACACCAGTGATTCACTTAATAACTGGCAAGAAAGATTATAAAATGAGGCAAAATTCAAGTTTAAAAAAATTGGATTTAATTTTGGTTGTAAACAGGACTACCTGAATCTCTGATTCAGATCTGTGATGCCAAAATAGATCCATAGCCAAGTGTGCTCTTATCAGTGCATTTTTCCTGGCTCCCTTCTAAAAACATTAAGGTAACTCTAAAAAACATTAAGGTAACTAAACCTTGTTTCCTCGATTTAATATAATTACCTATTAAAGCTAAAGCAAAAGTTTTCATCTAACAAGTAAAATTGCGGGCTGGCAGTTACACATCCTTCGTTTGTGCCCCCTTTCCTGAAGGTGGGAGGCAGGACCTAAAGCAGGGGTGTCCAACCGTGGCAACTTTAAGACTTGTGGACTTCAACTCCCAGAATTCCTCAGCCAGCAAAGCTGGCTGAGGACTTCTGGGAGTTGAAGTCCACAAGTCT